AACAAGGTGGAAGTCACTAAAGATGAAAGGCCTTGGCTTTGAGGCCATCAAAATCTCTCATTTGCCATTGATTGAAAACCCAAATCAAACCTGAAAGGGAATGCAGAAACTTTGTTATTAAAATGTCAAGGGAGCCCTGGCTGGTTTGGCTCAGCGGTTACAGCTTCAGCCTGCGGACTGGAGAGTCCTGAGTTCAGTTCCTGCTTGGGGCACGTACCTCAGTTGCAGTTTGTCCCCGGCCCCGTTTGGGGTCATGTGGGTGGCAACCACTCGATGTGTCTCTCTCACATCGATGTTTCTCTCTCTCTCTTCCTCCCTCTCTCCCTCCTGCTCTACCTGAAGATAAAAAGTCAAGGGATAGTTTAGCTTCAGGTACAGCTCTTATGATGTCATTCGGATCTGGGCTCTCTTTCAACTCTGCTGCTCTCTGTATGGGCTCCAATCTCAGGTAAGCGCCTCTCCAGTGGTAGCAAAACAGCTGCCAGCAACTCTAGACTTTTATCATCACCAGTCTAAGAGGAGCAGAAAAGAATAAGCATAACTAAGCTTACATCCTGGGCTTATTCTGATTGGTCCAAACTTGGGTCACATTGCCATCTCCGAACCGATCACTGTGATCACAGGCACACATTTTTGGGACTGGCCAGACCTGAACCTCACATCTACTTGGAGGATGGTTCATAAAAAGAAAAATAGGGTGCCCTGGCTGGTTTGATTCAGCAGTTAAAGCGTCGACCTGCGGACCAAAGAATCATGGGTTCGATTCTGGTCAAGGGCACTTAGCTCCGCTGCAGATCAGTCCAGCCCTGGTTGGAGTCACGTGGGAGGAAACCAATCAGTGTGGCTCTCTCATGCTAATGTTTCTCTTTCTCTTCCTCTTCTCCCTCTCTCTTCCTCCCTCCCACTCTATATGAAGATAAACAGAAAAATATCCTCGAGTGAGGATTAAGAAAAAAGAAAAGAAAACTGGGGTGTTGTAGTTAACAGAAGAGTCAATGTGTGCTGGGCAGCAAGAACAACAGGTGTCTTCTTCTGCAGGGCTGAGCAGGTTGTTCATGAGGTTATTCAAGTTGGTAGCCGAGGATGGGGTGGAGAGGAATCCCACAAAGCCAGTCTTTGATGCAAGAGGAGGCATGGCCTGGCCGTCAGTGACTTCATATGTAAAACAGAACTTGGAGTGTTAGTACCAGTGCCTTTTGATAACTCTGCAGACTGAAAGATCTTTGAGGGCAAAGGAGTTTGTATCCCTGGTACCTACTGGTAGGCCTGATGCTCAAAATATCCCTGTGGATGGATGGATGGATGGATAGTAGATGACAGATGATGAATAGATGAACAAATGAACCACTATATTTGAATATCTCCTGGAAGAGTCTCACAGTATTTGAAGGAAAGTATTTAATTAACAAATGCCTTTTCAAAGTATCTCTTCTGTTCATTTACGTCAAAAATGGAGCATTGTGAAAATAGCACACACTTGGAAGTCACACAAACCTTGCTGTGGATCTTGGCTCTGTGTGAACCTTGTGCAAATTATTTAGCTACCCTAAGTCTTAGTTTCCCCATCGATAACATTGGGCAATGTTAGGGTGCCACCACAAGGTAAAGGTCAATGAAACAATCTCCCAAGAGTATCCATTTGTAACATTCTTTTTTTTTTTTTTTTGATACATTTATTATAGATAGGGCTTAGCTCTCAGCCTGAAAGAATTTTTAAAACTTCATTTCATCAGCACATGGAGAGAGAAGCCATTTCCCAAACAGGCTCACATGAACCAAACCAGACAGGCAGAGAGCGTACTCAGAATGCCAACTTATCCATTTACCATGAGAAATTATTTGGGGTGTCCAAGTAACTGAAATTTTCTCCCTGTGTGCAACTGTCTTTGGGGAGTAAAGTCATAACCAGAAGATTGTTGTGACCGGGCCAGGGGACTGGGCTGCGTCCTGCCAGCAGCGACGGACCCGCCACTGGGAACCCTCGGAGGAAGCGATCACTGACAGGGTTTGTCTCTGTGTCCTAGGAGGAGTTTCCACATCTTTGCTTTGTTCCAGTATATATTTATGTTTCAGAAGGCATCTTATTTTCCTCACTGGCAGTGTCTCGGGGAAAGGCTGGCCCCAACTCCTAAAATAATAATAAAAACAACACCTTTTTCATCAATGAAGCCTGCACGTCCGCGGCGGGCTCTGTCTGGCTTTCAAGATCTGGGTCAGATGGCTTAACTCCCAAGTCCATTGCCGTGAACATCTCCTCTTCCACCTGTTTCCTCATGATCTCCGCCCAGCGTATGTCAATCCACACATGAATCACAGCTGCTGCACTGATATCCATCAAAATGAAAAACAAAAAATCCCACTCATACAAACCATTCATGAGCGGACTTTTCTAAAGAACTGAGGAGGCAGGGAGAGGTCCCAGGAAGGATTCATAGACACACATGATACCGCAGCGTTCAGAGCCATAAGAGACATCTTATCCTCTAAGGTCCCTCTGATCACCCTGACTGCAGGGGTTCCTGTCCTGGCCCTTCCCACCAACAGTCCTCCTCACACCTCTTCCCCTCTCTCCCTCCCTTCTCCCTCCTTCGCTCTCTCTCCCACGCCTCCCTTTCCAGCACATCCAACAGCTTCCTCTCTTTGACTCCAAAACAGAGGCTCCACCCACTTCCTGGAGCCTCCTCCACAGCTGAAATCCAGGCCCCGGGGATTTCACCTTCTAATTGATCAAAGGTATTTTCCAAACAAAGATTGTTCCTTTCTAAATGGAATTTTGGGGCCACCTGTTATGAAAATAAAAGCACTTCCTCCTTGATTGCAAGGTGTCTGGATGAACATCCAATAAACAAGCCTCCATCCACGCCTCTAGCTCCTCTCCATTGATGCAATACATTGTGCATGAGTGATGGCTTCAAAATGATTAAGGTATTTCTGCTCCTCTCCACATTCCTATGTTGGTTGAGAGGACACCCTCAAATAAAAGTTCCCATGGCTACTGGCTTTTAAAGACTGGTGCCAAATGCTGGCTCCCCAACTTACTAGCTTTGTGATCTTGTGCAAATTACTTCACCTCATTGGCTTCAGTTTCTCCACCCAGAAAATGAGAGGGCAGATTAGCTTGAAGACTTCTCGGGAGTCCTATTAAATTAATTTACTCCTGTAAAGTGCTTAGTACATAGTAAGGGCTCAGTAAATGTTAGCTGCTTTAAAAAAAAAAAGTTTGTATTGATTTCAGAGAGAGGAAGGGAGAGGGAGAGAGAGCTAGAAACACCCACCAGCTGCCTCCTGCACACCCCCTGCTGAGAATAAAGCCCGAAACCCAGACATGTGCCCTACCCGGGAATCCAACCGGAGACCTTCTGGTGCATGGGCCGATGCTGAACCACTGAGCCACACCTGCTGCGTTGTTAGCTGCTTCAAAGAATTTTTTTGTTTCTTTCTCCTCAAATATGTGACTTTATCAATGAAAAAGATGAGAGAGTTTAACCTTTGCACTTTAATAAAGCCAGCCTTGAGCTAGAGACTTAAAGCAGTAGAGTCAGGGTTCAAACTGGCTACAGACTATCCCCCCCAGTACCCTACGTCACAGATGGCCAGGCACTAACTCAGGTGGGATCTGCACTCAGAGGTGGAGGGGTAGTAGAAACGTGATAAAAATACAACCCAAACCAGAGTAGCCTAAACTGGGAGAGACACCAACTGCCTGGGTCTAGTTCATTTCTGGGTCAGAGGATTCAGGTCCCAGGCCTGGAGGGTCCCGGGGCTGGCTAGCATCACGATGAGCCGCTCCCACCAGACCTGTCCTGTATCTCGTGTGAATCTCTCGGAGGCCTCTTAAATTTCCCTGGTTTCACAAGAGGAAAGAAGAACTGAGACATCACAGACCCTCCCCGAGAGGATGATGGCTGCCTCTTAGTGTCTGCAGCCCCAAGAACAGCCAGACTCTTCGATTACATGGCCGAAGGGGGCTCCGGTTCAGGCTGTGTTCTCATGGCCATACCTGATTGCTGAGTGCCATCTTCCCCCGTCACCTACCCACCCCCTGGAGCCTCTGCCCCTCACAGGAACAGGCTGGTTGGGCTGCTGGCTGCAGCCTCTGGGAAAACAGGGTTAGGAATGGAGTGGGAGAGCCAGGCATGGGTTGGGTGAAGCCAGCTCCTCCCAAGGTGGGCCTAGCTGAGGGGGAGGAAGAGGGAAGGAAGGAAGCATTGAGGGGACTGCCAGCCAGAGGACACATCTTGAAGGGAGAGACTAATTGCGTCTTTCTCTTTGCAGAAGGCACAGCTGTCTAGGCTTGGACACGGGGGTCTGAGCAGGAACAGGGAGGGGTAGAGAAGACTATAGCTCACCTAAAAACTACCTAAAGGACACATTTCTACAGAAACCCGTTAGAGTTTAGTCCTTACACCCAGAAGTGCATTATCCACTTGGCTTTATGAACTCTTCCTGCAGACTTGCATTCCCTCGAGTGACTTTGGGTTCCTGCGCATCCATGCTGTGGTGGCTGTCAGGGCTGAGCAGCCAGGAAGAGAAGTTGTGGATTTTGACCCTCCATCCCTGGGCAGGATCACTTCTGTCCCTGCACCCCCCATCACCCTGGTCCTCTTAGCAGAAGTGTAGAGGAGGAAGCAGGCAGCCTGGGGCTTCTGGGCCCCTGCTGTGACAAGCCCTAGGAGAAGCCCCGCGACCGTGGGAGGTCCGGGCACGCCCGGCTGTGGGGAAATCCGCGCTGGTCAGGCGGCCGCGCTCACTGGAGCAGCGTGACGCGTCGGCCACGGACGGTGGGGACTCGCTGTGCGCTTCCCTGTGCCTGGCTGCCCTGGGCAGATGCCAGCCCTGCTTGCCGGCGGGGGCGGGGGCGGAGGCGAGGGCGGAGCACAGCCTTTACTGACTGGGATGGGGTAGCGCTGGCCAGGAAGGTCACTCGGCAGCTGGGCTGGCTGCAGTCACCACACACGCACCCTGCGGCTTGGGGTTGTCCCCTCTCCTGCACTCACAGGCGGACGGTTTGCACTCCCGCTCTGGAGCAGCGACCACCCAGTCGGCTCCTCCATCCCCCATCAGAGAGACCACATGGGCCCCGAGTCCACCTGCCCTTGCAGGGGCTACCTGACTCGCCTCCAGGTGAGGACCTGGATTGAGCCCGTGGTGGCCTCCACTCAGGTGGCCAGCTCCCTCTATGATACGGGGCTGCTCCTAGTGCTGAAGGAATCCTTAGGGGTCAGAGCCTCCAACCACAGCACCAGCTTGTCTCCCCGGGGGGCTCTAGAGGACCAGCAGCAGAAGGCCATCTCCAACTTCTACATCATCTACAACCTCGTGACCGGCCTGACGCCCCTGCTGCCTGCCTACGTCCTGGGCTGGCTCAGCGACCGCTACCACCGCAAGATCTCCATTTGTGTGGCCCTGCTGGGCATCCTGCTCTGCCGCCTGGGGCTCCTGTTCAAGGTGCTGTGGGACTGGCCCATAGAGGTGATGTACTGGGCGGTGGGGCTGAACGGGCTCTGCGGAGGCCTCTCCGCGTACTGGTCCGGGGTTATATCCCTGGGATCCCTTGGCTCCTCCGAGGGCCGCCGCTCCATTCGCCTCATCTTTATCGACCTGATCCTGGGCTTGGCGGGATTCTGTGGGAGCATGGCCTCCGGGCATCTCTTCCAGCATGTGTCTGGGCAAGCCTGGCAGGGCCTGGCGCTGACAGCCTGCAGCGTGAGCTGTGCCTCCTTTGCCCTTCTCTACAGCCTCTTGGTCCTAAAGGTCCCTGTGTCAGTGGCCAAGCCCAAGGCACCCCCCACCGTGGATACCGTGTCTGGCACAGTTGGCACATATCGCACCCTGGATCCTGATCAGCCTGACAGGCAGAGTGTGGAGGGGCACCCCCTATCTCCTGAGAAAGCAAAGCCCCATAAATCCATTATTGTCCTGCTCTTTCTGGGTGCCATACTTTATGACCTGGCAGTGGTGGGCACAGTGGACGTGATGCCCCTGTTCGTGCTAAGGGAACCGCTCAGTTGGAACCAAGTGCAGGTGGGCTATGGTATGGCTTCAGGATACATCATCTTCATCACCAGCTTCTTGGGCGTCCTGGTCTTCTCCCGCTGCTTCCAGGACACCACCATGATCATGATTGGGATGGTCTCCTTTGGATCGGGAGCCCTCCTGTTGACTTTCGTGAAAGAGACATACATGTTCTACATTGGTGAGTCTGACGTTCTTGGGGAGGCAGGACAAAGACACTGGTCCCCTGAGTCATGGGGCTGACAGTAGGAATGCTGAGGTCCAGGTGTCCCAGCTTGGCACCAGGGATTGTATCTGCTACCTAGGAGGTTCAAGGAAGACAAGATTATGGGCACTTGAGTTAATTGTGTCGTATTGTGTTATCTGTATTGCCCACTGAAATGTTACAGAATGGTGTCCGTGGCTCTAGGAGGTCGTGGGAGGAGTGGTCAGTGTGCCTGGAGTCGGTAGAAAGGATTCAGAATGGCCTTGGATGAAGGAGATAGGAATGGGTTTCTCTTCCCCAATTTTAAAGGGATAAAACATTAAATCATTCAACTGAATAGGTACCTTAATTAAAATCATTTAGGGTCAAGCAAGAGCTTTTGAAAAATGGATTTAAAAAATTCTCCACGTATGCTTTCCAGAACCAATGTGAAAAATTCCTTCAGGGAAGCGGAATGGCTTCCACGCGAGGATGTCTTCAGACAACCACGAGCAGAGCGCGCTAGCCCACTGCTCCAACAGAACTGTCTGCAATGACCAAAACGCTCTAGATCTGTCTTGTCCCACAGAGTAGCCAAAAGCCACATGTGGCTGCTGAGGACTTGAAATGTGGCTAGTTCATGTAAAGAACAGAATTTTAAATTTTATTGCATTTTAATCAATTTAAATAGCCACACGTGGCTAGTGGCTAACGTATCAGAAGTAAGCCAGGTACCAGGAGGGTGTGTCTTCCAGGGCAAGCTGCACAGCAGTTATGGGCAGAGGGGACTCTAAGTGAGGCTTTTGCTTTATTCAGATTTACTCCTGGGCTGGGGCTGGGCCAAGTGAGGAGTGTCCTCATGTGATTTCTTTCCAGCTCGAGGCCTCATGCTGTTCGCTCTCATCCCTGTCACAACCATTCGATCGGCAATGTCCAAACTTATAAAGGACTCCTCCTATGGTGAGTAAAATGAATCCCCCTGAGTCTCCGACTGGGCTGTCCCAGAGCTGTTTGGCTTGTGGCACAGGGTTCAGACTTGCAGGAGGCACACGCGTAGAGTTCTAGAAGCAATCTCAAATACTCCAGGGACACACCGGTGTCCATTCAGGGCAGAGGGAGTGAACAGGAGGGTGGGGCCGACTCAGAAATCAGTCACTGAAAAGCCATAGTCAAAGGAGACACTGCCACCCACAGACCGCAGGTAGATCCACTGGACTACAGCAGGAGCCCTGGTGAATGAGCCATGAAGGCTGAGAGGGAGTCCTGGGGGAGGGAAGGGTCTCCGGTGAGCTCCCCAGAGACTCGGCTCGCGGGGGACAGGGAAGGAGAGTCAGCTCTGTTCCTTCCACAGGAAAGGTGTTCGTCATCCTGCAGCTGTCCCTGACTCTGACCTGGGTGGTTACCTCCACGATGTATAACAAGCTCTACCAGCTCACCATGGAGAAGTTCGTGGGTACCTGCTTCGCGCTCTCCTCCTCTCTCTCCTTCCTGGCCATCGTTCCGATTGGGTAAGACAGGGGCAGTGTCTGCCATTTGGGCTGGGGCCCTGGGGCTTTGGTCAAGGATTTCTGGACCATCTCTAGCCCATTATCAGAAAGCATCATTTGTTTTCAGTGGGTTCTCAGTAGATTCTCTCACAAAGAAAAAGTCCTGCTGTTCCCCCAAATTAATTATTTGGGAATTCCCGAGAGTCCTAAGTAATGAACAGGAGACTCCAACCAGCTGGCTCACTTCCTGGCGGGTTTGTAATACAATTTATTTATAGGAGCCTCATATACTTCCCTGTATTCAGAAGCTGAGATTAGAAAACATCTTGACCCTCTCAGACCTCTTTGGTTTAGCTCCCTTTAGGTGGGTAGGAGTCATACCTCCTCACATCCATTCTCACTTCCGTCTCTGTGCCTTCCCAGGGCTTGGCACCTGGCAGCTTCTCTACTCAGTGCCCCGGAGACCTCATGGCCACTGGACTGTGGGAGGTCCCCGTAGGACTCAGGCAATTCCCTTGACATCTTCTGGGGAAATCGTCTCATTCGTAAAACAAGAGCACTCAAGTCTGGGAGGTAACAGGCGGGCAAAAAGCTAGAAAAGCAAAGGATAGGCCCTCCAGTCCCATGGCCAGAACACCAGCCTGTCCCCACCGAACAGGACCACAGGGAGCAGTCTGGTCCTCGGCCAGCCCTGTCCAGAGAGAATACGGGACGAGCCACAAGTGCAAGCTATGTCCGTGACTTCAAACCTTCCAGTAGTCACATCTAAAAATGATAAAAATAACAGGTGAAATTGATTGAATAACATACTTGATTTAACCCACTGTATCCAAACTATCCTTTTCACAGGTAATCAATTTACAAAATTAATCAATGAGATTTTCTTTGTTTTTACCGAGTCTTTGAAACCTGGTATGGGTTGTATGCAGATAACACGTCTCCATTTGGACTGGTCACATTTCGAGTGGTTGGTAGCCTGCGGGACTGGTGGCTGCATATTAGGCAGCACAGCCTCTCCCCTCCCCTGAAGCCCAGGCTTGTATCAATCCCACCAGAGGAGACGGAGTTCAATAGATATACCCCAGCAAGGTGCAAGGATTCCTTGTAGAGTTGCATTTTAAAGGGACCTGCCTGGGGGCGCATGAGAGCTGTTTGGTAGTTAGCGGTGGCAGCAGAGCAGAAAGTAAGTGAAGGCAGGTGGGAGAAGCAGGAAGGGATGGTAATATGGCTCTTTTGAGTTCTCACATCACATCACATTTATGTCCCTGCCTGCGTAGAAAGTTGGACCTCCTGAGGCAGGGGCCCTCGATCACTGAGGCTTTTTCAGCTAGAACAGGCCAAGGCTGTACCATCAATCATTAAGCGACATCAATAGGAAAGACCAGTAGAACTCTCTAACCACGGGAAGAAAAGGTACATTCCAAGCACATAAGAACCCAGGAAGGTACATTCAGGTCAGGGGAGCAGAGGAGCCTGTGGAGGGCAGAAGGCTGGGGGGAGAGGTCCCTGGGCCACAGCTGCAAACAGCCTATTTGCGCCCACCCCTGGCCGATTCTGGTACCGACTTCACGTTACTGTAGAACCTGTCCCCTCTGCTGGCTTTTTCCTGTGCAATAGGGAGGGAGCCGCTGAGGAAATAACCGGCCCCGCCCTCTGCGCCCCCCCCCCACAGCGCGCATGCGCGCAGCTACTGCCATCAGAGGAGAATGGCCCCACGCCCCCAAAGGAAATCTACAGACCTACCCTCATGGGCACCCATCCTATGCTTCTCCTCCCCACCCTTTTCAAAATGATAATAATTGCAAACACTAAAGCGCCCTTAATATGTGCCAGGCACTACTTTAAATATTTTCATTAATTTAATTTTCTCAAACAGTCCTCTTATGTAATTACTGTTATTATCCCCATTTTGCAAATGAGGAAACAGACTCTAAGGTATTATGTAACTTCCCAAAGGATCCACAGCTAATACGTGGCAGAGGCAGGATTTGAACCCAGGCCCTCTCCCTTACCTACTAGGTGACATGGCTTCTTAGAGAAGTCACTAGGTGTCTGGGTGCCACCTCTCCCACCTCCTCAGAGAGCTCACTGCACTCTCTTCCCTGAATTCTTCCTACCAGAACTGACCTAGGATCCACTACCCTCTCTCCTCCCCCTCCCCCTACTACCCTCCCCGCCCCCTTTCTCCTCCCCCTCCCCCTCTTTTCTCCTCCTCCTTTTCTTCCCCCTCTCCTCCTCTTCCTCCTGCTCCCTTTTATAGCCAAGCTCTCCAAAGGCTGGTCAGCACATGCTGTCTCATGTCCTCCCCTCCAGTTCACTTTGCAGCCTTCTACAGACTAATGTCCCCAGCTCAACTCCCCAGAGCTGCTCTCACTGATGCTACGATACGACGTCTTCAAAGATGAATCCAGTGGGTTCCCATAATCCTCACCACACATGCTTTCTCAGTGGCCCCCAACACTGTCAGTCACTCTTTCCTTGGGAGGCACTTGTCACTGTCACTCACCTTTCTCAACACCTCGCTCTCCTGATTGTTCTCCTACCTCTATGATCACTGCTCCACAAGCCTCCAAACAGAAGAAGTCTTTGGGGCTCTGCTCTGGGTTGTCTTCTCACTTCATATTCTCTAAGTCATCTAAGTACTTTCAAAACTTCACATTATCACTTAAATTTTCAAAATTGGGTTCTTGACATCTGCTTAAGTCTGTTCTCCCTCCGGGCTTTCCCATCTCATTAAATGGCACCAGCACGCACCCGGGGAAGAGTCAGTCACCTGTGTCTTTCCTCTTCTTCCGCCCCCACCTCCAATCCATCAGGCCTCATCGATTCTACTTCCAGAATATACCTCACATTCATCTTTTTATTTTGATCTTGGTGCTGCCACACCTAGTCCAAGCAGTTGGATGACCAGTTAGCCTCTGAGCCACCTGCCCCACATCCACTCTTGTTCACCTCTCACCTTCTCCCCGCAGGTGGCCAGAGCAGTTTCCGAGAAGGGTAAATCAGGTCATGTCATCTCTTGCTCAAAGCTCTGCACCTGGCTTTCAGTGCTCTGAGGATGAAACTCACCATGACCACAGGGTCCGGCAGCATCTGGCCTTGCCAACCTCTCGGGGCTCCTGTTCCTGCCACGAACCACACTCTCGACTCGGCTTCAGCCCGTTGCCTCCGCTCACGCTCCTCCCTTTCTCGCCTACACCTTTCTTAACCCAACTAGCTGTGGTCTTAAACACCATTTTCTCCAAGAGGATTTGAGAATATCCTCTTCGTGATCTGAAATAGATCCTTTTATTATATGCTCCCCACGCCTCCTATACTTTTCCCCATAGTATGACAGTTGATTATTTAGTGATTATCTGCGGGGACCCTGTGACTGGCTCACCATGTATCCTGTGTGTCCAGTAGCAAGCCTGGCATAAAAGAAGCACTCAAGTGCATTTGATGAATGAATGAATGAATGAATGAATGAATGAATGAATGAATGAACGAACGAATGAACGGTCAAAGGGTTCGGCACCTATTAACAGCACTGCTGACCATCCACATCCCCTGGCTGACCTTGAGGTCAGGGGCTGGCCATCACCATGTGGCTCTTCCCGCTCTTGCTATAGTGGTCCACGACAGGGGTCAGCTGCAGAGTCAGGGCTGCAACCCAGAGTTCACGTGGTCCTGGGCTGGCTTGGCCTCTCCTCTCGCCAGGTTTGTAATATGATAAGTTTTAAGTACAGTAAGTGTCCCTCCCTGTAGAGCCTTTGGACTCATGGAAGGTGAGAAATCAGAGTGACTGGACGTTTCCACAAAGCTTTCCCTTCGAGGTTCGGATTTAAGCTCCTACCCCATCCAGCAGCTCCGAGTGTTTAATCTCATTCAAGAATAGCTTAGACCCCGAGGTACCCAGAGCTCAAACAGGCAAGGAAACCGAGGACCCCAGAGGCTGACAGACACACTGAAAGTTACACAGATCCAAGATGTCAACGTACAGCTATACATTCCTACATATTTAAATATTTTAAATCAATGCAATGATTTATGGAAGAGATAAAGGGGCTTGGAAAGGCAGAAGGTGAGGCAGCTAATTCTACTTGGGATTAGCAACCCTCGATCTTGAGATACATGTGGGAGTTCATCCTCAGGCAGAAGTAAGATGGACAGAGATTCCAGGAAAAGGAAAGGGCTGCAGAGGTACCACGGATGGAATGAGCCTGGAACGAGGGAAGTTCCCGTGGGCCACCTCTCTCCGACGGTGCAGCAGTCTGATGCTACAACGGACACAGCCTCTCAGTCTACCAGCGCTAAGGAGGCGGCCAGAGCCCTCCCCGCCACCCATGGGGAGGAAGCAGCGCGTCTTTGCCCCGCTCCAGCTGTTCCCTTGTAATTCTCTCTTGTAAATTCTTACAGCATCGTGGCCTATAAACAAGCCTCATGGTTGAAACATGCAGACATCCCGGGGACATGAAGGTGCTGACCCGCAGGAGGTGATAACACCAGCAGTGGCCCCTCGGAAAACCACGGGAGGGACCAGGAACTGGTGACCAAAGCAGCCCACTACCCAGAAACCTGAGTTCCAGCCAGAGTCAGCCTCAGAATCAGCTGCTCTGGCTCAGGGGTCCCTGGGGGCGGGGAAAGCGTTTTCCTGGGGATGGAAGAACTGTGTCAGCTTTCAGACACCCTGACAGGCAGAGGTTAGGCTCTGCGGGCAGCAGACTGTGACCTTTAATGGTTTATATTCAAGCTGCGTGCACAGCCGGGCCAGACGCTACAGGGAGCTTCAGACAGAGGCGCCTTTTCTTCCAGAAATTGTCTTCCGGGCTCCAAGGTGTGGCTCAGTAGTCACCTGGGTGCGGTGCTAGGAGTCCCGTGTGGGATGCAAACCCGCGGGGGACGTGGAAGGGGTGTTTTGTAAGAACTGCCAACAGTGAACATCAGTCAATATTTTTAAAATTAAAACAAAACCTTGGATAAATGTTACCTTTCTTCCCGTGGCCTTGTGAACACTCAGGACAGACTCAGAGCTCGGGCTCTTGGCTTCAGGGCAGTTTCGTTGTCGTTGTTACTGTTGTTTTTAAGAAGCAATGATCGCCCTGGCCCGTTTGGCTCAGCGGTTAGAGCGTCAGCCTGCAGTCCAGAGAGACCCAGGTTCAGTTCCCACTAAGGGCACGTACCTTGGTTGCAGTTTGTCCCCAGCCCTGGTTGGGTCATGTGGGTGGCAGCCACTCGATTTGTCCCTTTCACGTCGATGTTTCTCTCTCTCTCTCTTCCTTCCACTCTATCTCAACAAAATATTGAAAAATGTTCTCGGGTGAGGATTAAAGAAAATTAAGAAAGAAAAAAAAAGAAGCAATTATCAAGACATTTTTCTTTTTGAAAAAAATATCTTTATTGATCTTTGAGAGAGAGAGAGAGAGAGAAACATCGATGTGAGAGAGAAACACCTATCGGCTGCTTCCCACATGCCCCCTACTGGGGATTGAGCCCATGGCCCCGGCATGTGCCCTGACCAGGAATCGAACTGGGACCTCTCAGTCCATGGGACGACGCTCAGCCCACTGAGCTGCACCAGCTGGGCTCAAGACTTTTTCTTTAATGGAATATTAAATTGAATACTTTCACTCAACAATACTCGGAAAGTGAGAGGTGTGAAGGGAGGGGGAGAGGAAATACACAGAGAGCCATTTTATTTTGAGGTACTTTTATTGCCTATTTTACTTACATGTACAAAAGCAGACTGGCCTCCTCATAAAGTCACCATTCATAGTACGTATGTGATTCACTCTTTCCCAGGTGAGATTCCCTCTGTAAGTACAGGCGTGGCATTCTTATGCTGGGGTAAAACTTAAAGCTAGAGAATGCATTTAAATCTCAGAGCATTTGAGCTCAGAGGCTTTGTATCTCTGATCCCTTGCGGGGAGGAACAGAACCTCCTGGCACACCTACTAAGGTGCTGGCACCACGCGAGGTGCTGAGATACAGCGAGGACATGACTGCTCCCTCCTTAACAGCGTGTATTGTCTAGTGTGTGGAGCAGACAGGACAGCAGGCAGTGATTTATCCTATAATGAATGCTAACATAAGGGAGCATGTAATCCAGATTTCGGAGAGCAGAAAGGGCTTCTCAGAGGTGGCATATGAGGTGTGCTCTCTCTCTCTGGAGCACACCTGTGCCTTTCCCCTACTTCTTCCCCAGGCACGTTACCTTCGCCTTTTTCTCCTAAGCTCTAAGCGTCCTTCTTTTGCCTCTGTAACTTGTTTCCTGAGCCCATGCAACCCAACTGGCTCACTTCTTTTATGGCTCACCTTTTCTACCTCTGTGACTTTCTAAATAAACTTTTGGTTGCGGTTGGGGAACAAAGAAGCAGCAGCAGCATATGATAAGGTTGGAAGGATAAGGAGTTTCCAAGGCCAGAAGTTGAGAGACTTTCCAGGCAGATGGAACAACATTTGGGAAGGCCTGAAGGTGAAAATATTGTGAAATAAAGGAATTCAACGTGAGGGGGTAAAGAGGGAGGGAGCAGTATCAAGGAGGATGAGACTGGGCGGCAAGGAAGAACAACACAAAATCAAGCTTTTAGAAAATGTTTCCCTCTAGAGGAATGGGGCAGGCTGGCTATTGAAAGTTTTTCTTTTGTTTTTTTTGTTTTTGTTTTCCATTGATCTTCAAATAGAGTGGGAGGGAGGGAGGGACTGAGGGAGGGAGGGAGAGAGAAACAGCAATATGAGAGAGACTCATTGATTGGTTGCCTCCCACACAACCCGGACCAGGGCTAGGAATCGAACCACACCCAATGGTTCAGAATCACACCCACAACTCTTTGGTCCACGGGCCAACACTCTAACCACTGAGCGAAACTGGCCAGGGCAGGCTGAGGTCTTAAGCAGGAGGAAGAATGCTTACCTTCATGTCTCAGAAAGAGCTCCCTGGCAGCACGGAGGAGGAGCTGGTGGAAGAAGGATCGAGCAAGAAAGGGGACAAGCAGAGACCCTTGCGGCAGCTCAGATGAAGGATGATGGGGTACTGACACTAAGAAGCTACGAGGACGGAGAAAAGTGGGTGGACGTGGAGAAAATATTTGGAACTAGAGGTCAACCAGAGGTGGTGATGAATGGACTGTAGAGGGTGAGGTAGACCGAAGCAAGAATGACTCGGATTTGGGTTTCAGGCAACTAGGAAGAAGGTAGAGCTCCTCACTGAGACAGGCACCGTAAACCAGAAGGTGGGGTGGGGAAGGTGAGTTCAAGGTCATGCTCCTATCTAAACTCTCACCAATGTGCTCATTCCCCTTAACTCCCTGTCTCCCACCTCAGCCCCTGAATAATTCCCCCAACCTGAATGAATCTAATTCTTGGCTTCTTCATTCCTGTTCCTGAAAAACTGGCTCTGAACATCTAGAACATTCTTCTTATTTGCACGTTGACCCTGCCATCCACTGTGGTTTTAACCCAAGCTGGGCTCTGGCTCTCAGAGCCCTAGTGGTGGCTCCTGTACAGCCCACCTGTCACTACGGCAGCCGTCCGAACCTTTCCTACTCTCCCCCGGTCACCATTTCTTCTGACAGATGTTCCAACCCAAGAGTTCCCCAAGTGTGGTTCGGGGCCAGCAGCACCAGCAATCCCTGGGCACCTGTTAGAAATACAGGTTCCCTGGCCCCACCGGACTCAACCTCCACGGGTGGGCCCAACAATTGGTGTTTCATAAGCCCACAGGCCTCATTAAGAATCACTCTTCTAATCTGTGGTCCTGACTTTTTCTCCTTAAAATCTGCCCCTGAGTCCCCCTCCTCCTCTCCCTGCATCCTGAATTCTTGAGGTCCCCGAAGCCACGCCATCGGTTCTCTCTCCAAGTACGCTCGTCTACCCCCAGGCCCTCCAGAACTTTCCCACGATCGGGTCCACAGCGCCACCTGGATCTCCTCAAGCATAAATTCAACCCAAACCCTCCTCTCCTCCTCCTCATTTAAATTCATTTCATCTTTTATATTTTCCCCCTGATTTCACAGTTCGCCTCCCAGCTCCCAGGCTGCAGGTCTCCAAGTCACCTCCCTTCTCCTCACCACGGAAATCTCTTAAACCCAGCTTCCTGTCTATCATTTCTTGACACTTTTACAACCTATTCCCACTGAATCCTCCAGCACACTACTTCCATCATCTTTAAAAGAAACCAGTTGAAAAAGGTATAGCCTGCTTCTTAATTTTCAGTGGCAAAGCATCCAGGAAGGCCATATTCAAACAAGTAATGGAAGAGTCTTCCCATAAGGCTATCACATGATGGGTGCCCAGCAGCCTCTCGGGTGCTTTGTAAACATTATGGCTCGTCCAGTCAGCAACTTCAGGGGAGGCATGTCCTCATTCAAAAATCACAACACTGCCCTGGCCGGTTGGGCTCAGTGGTTAGAGTGTCGGCCTGCAGACCAGAGTCCCGGGTACAATTCTAATCAAGGGCACATGCCTCGGTTACGGTTTAGTCCCTGCCTCTGGTTGGGGTTGTGCAGGAGGCAATCAACTGATGTGTTTCTCTTGCATCAATCTCTCTCTCTCTCTCTCCCCCTCTCCCCCCGCCCTCCCTCCCACTCTGTCTGAAGATAAATGAAAAAATATCCTTGGGTGAGGATTAAAAAAAAATCACAACACTGTAGTTCACAGATGTGACCTGCCTAAAGCCACACAGTATGTAGAAAGCTGAAATCTGATCGCAAATCTCTCCTACCCCCTGGCTGTCTCTCTGTATGGCTGCATTATATTGATGATGTCTTCCATTTAACAGTGAGCCAAGTTTAACACCATTTCCAGGTCCTTGTCATCATTCGGCCTAACCGAGCATTAGTCTCTAACTTGCAACACACTGGGGCGCTCTAATGAACCAAACATTTCTTCTTTCCTTACAGGTTTTTAAATAACATCTAAGCAATCAAAAAGAAATCAGGAAATGATAGGTTCTGTCCCAGGATATGATGTTGTGTTTTGCTCTGGGATGGAGTAGGAAGAAATCCTTCGTGTCATTTCTTGGGCTGGCTTCTTGGTTTCATATATGGTTACGCTACAGACACTAGGTAGTTTCTTCATCTCCCCAAATGGGTGCCAACTTGTAGAGGTAGGAGACAGTAAACTGAGGATAAGTCTATGAAGAAGTACAGAAGAATAAAAACTGTTCAATTCTATTTTGTGTATTTTGTTTCTTTTGCTCTGTATATCCTGATTCTTGCAGGAAAACTTTAGAGAAGAAAAAAAAAGTAGGAGGCGTACATGCTTTCGCTCTTATAAAGGGGTACAAATGAGAACATGACTCGGGGTAAAGAAAGCATCTTTTATAGGTTTATTGGTCCGTTACTTTAACTGAGGTAAAGAAACCTTGGAGATATATATACAGGCTAACAGTTTATCAAGCAATACAAATTCTTTTGTTTACCTCAAAATGTAATACTAATCCCATAGTAAACAATGGACAGAATTTTTTATACACAGACATATGGAAAAAAAAGTGGACAAAATCCTCGTGCCAGCATCAAAAATGCAAAAGCTTTTTTTTTTCTTTTTATAATCTCTAGGTTTCATAACAAGGAAAAAAAAAAGGTGACATTTTTTAAAAAATTTGGTAGCTTCATGAAACAAAGACTTTGTAAATCAATCACTTTCTCACCGATCACATTCTCGAACACGTGTTTTTATTCACAGCTTTTGGTTTGGCTTCCTGGCAGCATGGGGAGAAAAATACATGTTTACACAGAGGATTTTATCAACACTTCAGAAGATTTTAGTTTATTTTTTCCTTTTAAAAATTTAAATGTAAAGAATGACTTCCAAACATAAGAAATACAGTCCATCATTTGGACATGACCTAAGCAAAAGTTTTATTTGTCTTTTTCAACAGTTAAAATACAAGTTAGAAAGTGTGCTGGCAGTTTATGTCATGGGAGCATCACGAGGTACACATCATTTCTCAGTGCACCCCCAGCCGCAGGCATCAAAGAGCAGTGCACAGGGGTACACTGCTGGGCCCCTGCTGGCCGGCCCCCAGACCTCAAAGGTGTCCAGGTGAATGGTGCTGACTGTTCAAAGATGCTGGTTTGTTATTCGATGGAGGCCCAGCTGACACGGGGGTCGTTTCAACATACTGAGTCCCATTTCTGTGTACAGTCTACTGTCATCGCTCCATTTCCACACCGAGGAGAAAGCAACCCCCTTCTTCTTTCCAGCATGTGACTGCGGGGCTGGTCTGAGACCGCGAACCAGCCTGTCAGAAGGGGTGTTGACAGGTGTCGCCTGCCCTCAGCTGGCCCAGGGAGCCAGAATCATGCGGTGAGAGCGCAGCAGGTGCCACACTCCATCACCGGTTTTCACTGAAAAAGCTCTGTTATCCTGGACAAAATGATGTGCGTCAACACAAGATGTCTTATGTTTTTGGCATCTGAACGTGCGGAGAATTTCTTTCTGAAATATGCTGCTCTGAGACCCCCCCCCCCACCAGTATCTCTTAAAAAGCTGTTCTGCAGAATCAGAGTAAACCTTTACTATTATCAAAACCTATATAGTTTTGTGTATCTGTATGATTTGTCTATAATCAGAAGTTGTGCCAAAAGGCACTAAATTAATCTTTCGTATTCTAAAACGAAAAGGGTTTTGTGGTCCCTGTGGCTCCTTGCATTATCAGAAATAGCATTTGGCAATAACAATACTTAAGCCTTCTCCTCCCAAAAGGCAGCCCTAATTATGAACCTCGCTTTCTTCCTTGTTTCTTTAAGAGGACGGAGGACTGGCTATGTTAGACTTCTAGTGTTTAAGCTGAACAACTGATTATGTTTCCAAAAACTCCTTTTATCCAGAATCTAAAAAACCCTCGTTGAAGAATAAGGCATTTTAACAGGTGTTGACAAATTCTCAAAGGGTAGAGTTAGGCTTTTAACAGTCTGTGGCATTTTTAAAAGTTTGGATTTGTTGATTTTTCAAGTGCTAAGTACACAGAATGTTTATGTACGAGACAAATAATTTTACTGGTTTGTTAAAGTTATTTTTTCAAAGCCCTTATTTACAGGCTCTCTATAGCAGTAAGAACTACCTGGATAATGTATTTTTCTGCCACCTAGACGGGGTTAGACAGCCACACCCAGAAAGCATTTCACACACATATGATCAAGAAAGAGCAGCCAGGTCCTGGCGGGTTTGGCTCAGCAGTTAGAACGTCGGCCTGTGGTCCGGAGAGACCCAGGTTCGGTTCCCACTAAGGGCACGTACCTCCGTTGCAGTTTGTCCCCGGCCCTGGTTGGTCGTGCGGGTGGCAGCCACTCGATGTGTCCCTTTCATGTCGATGTTTCTCTCTCTCTCTCCCTTCCACTCTGTCTGAACAAAATATAAAAAAAAAAAATGTCCTCGGGTGAGGATAAAAAAAAAAAAGAAAGAACAGTCAGCCTCCTGTAAAAGCCCCGCCCCACCTTTTCTAATGCCGTCAGCCCTGCGGCCCGAGGAGACCAGACATCCTTGGAACAGAAAGCTCGCCGCCGCCTGGGCAGGCTGATCAAAAATTGGTTTCTGGTGTAGTCACTGAATGTAAAAAACACAAGGGAGAGGACAACTCCAACACACCCAGCTCAACGTCTGGCCCAGGGGATGGTATTTTCCTCAAATTTCCTGGCAAATGCCACCTGCCCTCCGAACGGGGGGAACATCCGAAGTGAGGGGGCGTGTCCAATCTGTGGCATCTCCAGGACTTGAAAGTAAGAGGCAAACCCTGAATCCCAACATCATTCTGTAAATGGGGACGACCAAAGCAGAACTAGCCCAGCCTTATTCTTAGACCGCCCAGTTCCACAGGCCTTTCACGAAGGCGTCTAGGAGGGCGGGGTCCAGGACGGCGCCTTGGCCACAGGCAGCCCGTTTCTGAGCGGAAGCACCTCGCAGCTGCCAGATACAGCCCAGCTCTAACCCATCCCAAGGCCCAAACAGGAGGCCGACACAGACCTGGGAGGTGGCTCTGGCCCTCGCTGTCCCCCTCTCTCACCAGCCAGCACAGAGCACAGGGAATGACCACTCTGCAGTCCAGCGAGTGGCGTCTCGCAGGCCAGGTGCCCATGGCTTCTACGCCCCCAACCGCAGGGCCGTCATGCCCTCCTCTAAGGCGGAACTTGGAACGAGCAGCAAGTGTGCGCTTCCTTGTCTCACGTGCACGGCAACTGAGGAAACACATTCAATTCAACATGCAGAACACGCTCTGGGAGGGGCTGAAGTTTGGCCTGAAGACAAACTTACGTTACATTCACCACGATCCCCAGCGTGGTGCTGGGTTGTGTTATTTCAGCTAAAGAAAGGTGTCTGGTGAGTTCGAGGAGCAGCACAGTGAGGTACGAGCCAGCTGCCTCCATAATCGTGCTTGTCTGAGCTCACCAGGAATCATCGTTCAGTCTTATCGAAGGAGAGACCCCAATCCCGACCCTGGCTGTGCAGGGTGGTCCTCCTCCCCCTGGCCGTGCTCCCTGCAGGGGAGCCTGGCACCTTCTCGGAGACCCACCCAGGGATAAGGAAGGGCAGTGCTCACATCTGCTACCCGTCCCTGCTGCTCCCCTCAACACCATTTGCTCCCCAAAATCTGCTCGGTTTCGAGAAATTCTTCTGCCTTAGCCTGGATTTCTAACCTGGGTAAATGAAACCTTCCACTTCTCAGGCCCGGGGCAGTTGACAGGGATGACTGTCCATTCCCTAGGTGCTCAAGCCTCCAAACCTGTCCGTGTGTCTGTCTGCCTGAGGCAAGGTGCATCTGCAAACAAAAATCTCCCAAAAAATAAATACAAGGAGTCGGTGATCTCAGCACCACAGCTGTGTGGAGCCAAGGATGGGGGTGACGAGCCCTCTGTGAGGCAGTCTTTGGCACAGAAGTCTCTGAGTTACACATCACCTAGGGACTCGATCACCTTTGTGTCACTGAGACAGAAGGGAGTGCGTGGGGCTGCTGCCCTCGGGGCCGCGGGAGCCGTGGGAAGGACTGGAGAGCCCGCTTTGCTGCCTCGTGTCCCGCTCCTTCTGGTCCTGCCCCTCACCTCAGATGTCCCACTGGGCCATTTCTCCAGGGACATCTGCAACACACTGCTTTTCCCAGCTCTGCTGTCGAGGGCATGAGGGAGGACAGTTTGCCTTGTTCCAGCGCGCTCTGGTGTCTTAAAGCTCAGGAACACCCCACGGGGACCGAACAGAGGAAGATGAAATCCCAAGATGCCAAACCCTTCCAGAGCCTGTCTCCCGCCTGCAGGAGTGTGCAGGGGTGACCGTGGACCTCACTCCCTTTCCCACATGTCCCAGAGACGAGCCGCATGACTTCTGGAAGGGCTGCCTTCTTTCCCAACGAACCCTTCCACAAGGATGGCCCTGGGCTTTGGCAACTAGCGGCAGACTCGAGTCGAGGCTTCTCGTAACTCCTGCCAGGTTCTTTCCGAGAATTCCACACACTGGACAACGTTGTCAGAGCCCACATTCCACAGGCAGGGCTGCACACGTCCCCAGCCATGAGCTCTTGCTGCTCAGTCTAGTGTCTTCTCCCAAACGTCAGCAGAGGCCCATCAACCCCCCCACCCCCAGTCCACCAGCAAGCGGTCAGGCTGGCCCTGGGCATCCACACTCACACCAGGACGTGCCGGTTTAGAGGTAGAACGAAGCATTGAATCACCCTCCGGGTAGACGGACTGTCCTTATCCATCTACTTCAACGAATCATTTCTAATCGTACCAAACTGGAAATTCGCATCGAAGGATGTTAGAACCACGCGGATGGGGTCTAACAGTGCAGTGAAGTACCCATTGATATAAAAATCACAATTTAAACTGCGACTTTCTCAAACGTAGTGGGACAGAACCAAAGTGCCCTGTGCCATCCAGCTGCTGCCCCAACAGCAGCACAGCGTGGCCGCCGCAAGGTTGACTGCCGCGGGAAGCGGAGTGGAGTGACCTCAACACCGGCGCGCTGGCGGTGTCCGCGGGCGAACCCCCAGGCGCAGCGGTGTCTCAGCACAGCGTTTCATTAAAAAAAAAACAAATACTACCACTTAACTGAGGCTCAGATTTATACTTTTGTAGGGATGAGCCACAGAGGAAAGAACACAAGCAGGACGGCTGTAGCTTCATTTCAGGAGAAGAAACCGAACTGGAAGATATTTTTGGGGCGGGCGGTCTGCTCGTTTGATGTTGGCTTATAAAATAAACCTGGTAATAGTTTGAAATAGAAACTTTAGGTGCAGCCGGCAGCCCCCCACAACTCGGCTACAAATGGACTTTAGCTCAACTAGAAGCAGAGTTCACTGCTGCACCTGTCCCCTTGGAGGCCTGACCAGAGACTGACTTTTCTTCCCAAGCAGGAAACATTAAGGGTTAAAGCACTTCATGGAGGCCATTCACACTGAGTTTATAAAATCTTGACTGTGTCCAGACAACACACCAGCCTCTCACCAGAACTCTGCCCAAGCATTCAGTGGGCAGAACAGGAAACACTGAGCTAGACTTGGGGTGAGTAAAGGCAATTGCACAAAGCGGACGTGGGAGGCGGGGCTTGGCATCTGCCCCTCCATCTCAACCGTGTGGGAGCTACTCTGGCTTCAAGACAACAGATACTCCCCTATCAGGCCTACTCTCTACTCTGATGACATTTAACAAGCAAAAGAACAACATGGAAGAACTTCACAGAGAAAAACGCACCTTTTTTTTTTCCATTTTACACAAAAATAGTTTCCAATGTACCACATTCTGGTGTCAGAAACAAGTCGGGGGAGCACGGCCGCCCGGCCTCCCGAGACACCGTGTAGGGACGAGGATGCCGCCTTGCTCGCTCTAGCACAGGTGTCTGCAGACACTGATTTAAATGGTCCTAGGTGAGCCAGAAACCCCAACCACTTGCCACTCATCACGAGCAGGCAGCAGGCCACGTTCGTGGCCACTGTACGCTGAGGACGTCCCCGGAGGTGCCAACGCCTGCTTCTCGGCTGGAGCGCGCCAGTGCCCAGAGCTGCTGTGTGTCCACGGAAAGCAGGAGGGGCTCCTGTTCACACTGTCCTCACGTCCCTGAAAAGCAGGACCCGGTTCTCTTCCACAACAGGCAACTCCGCCGTCCCCAGACCGGAAACCGTAATGAGATGTCAGAACGCCAGCCGAGGAGGTCTGGTCCCTCACTTTCGAATCTTCGTAGTGTTCCATTACCTAGGCTCCTTCACAGCAGAGGCATGCTGCTTTGCTGAGAGATGATTACAGCCTCACAGACTCCACCAGGGAATAAATACTCATTGAAAACAACGGTCAAAAAAGGCGGGGGAGGGGGGAGACAGAAATACACGAGGAGAGATGATTCTGTGGTTGTTCTCTCAGCGCCTCTTCTCTGGCACAGCAGGGACATTCCAGGATGGGGTGCCGTGCCCTGTGTAGGTAGACGAGTCTCTGTCCCAAGAAGGGACTCACTTGGCCTCTTGCTTCTCCTGCAGAAGTGGAATAATCGACTCCCACGCCACGAGGCACTGAAACAACACGTGCACACGGGATGTCAGCATCGGGTTTCAGGTTGCGGGGAGGGCTTCTAATTCTGCCTGATTCCTGCCAGTCCTGCCGGGTCACCCCTGTCTAATGGTGGCCACATGCGTTATCCATAATAACTACTAGAAAGATCGGAGTAACAGGTGTTGGTTTTGAATACATCACCCCCATTTCTCCGAAAGACCACTGTCTGTCCCAGGTTGACATGCACTGTGCATTCTGAACGCTCATGAGTGGAAATGGAGTCAGTGAAAGACATTCTTTCCCTTTAAAAGGCAGAGGCGAGACCAGGCTGCAAACCCGTGATGAGGCCCTAGGTTCTCAGCCAGGACGGAGACATGGCTCCAGGTGTGGGGGGTACCTGCAGAAGGCTGTCAGTCACGCTGGAGTGAGTCAGCCGGCTGGCTTCCAGGAGGTGGAACCCGCCCTTCCTCAGCCACCACACCTTTGTTGGGATAGCTGCTACTGGGTCTCCCAGCAGCACAGTGGCGGGAGGGAACCCTATATTTGCGGTTTCATCATGTCCAAACTGCCGTGTACTTTACAGTCGCTCTCAGTAGTCCTCACAACACACATTTTCCAGATGGGGAAAATGAGACCCAGAGAGGTTAAATAACTTGCCCAAGACACCCAGCTAGTAAGTGGCAGAGCTCCTGATTCCAAAGCAAGTGTTCTTCCCACTATACTGATCCCCTTTCACCCCAGATCCTGAGACAACTTGGGCACTCTCCTCCAAGACCACCCCACTTAGCTGAAATGATTCTCCTTCTGAGAAGTCTTTTGCAAAGAGGGAAGGACAGGGGATCACACAAGGCCTTTCTCAGAAGCAGCCCAGCAGTGAAGCAGGAATTTGCGCTGAGTCGTCTGGGGGTGAGTTCTGAGGAGCTGGGAGGAGAGAGGCACCCTTAGGTCAAGCAGGGGGAAGAGTGGTAGAATCGCTCCCTGCTTCTGCTTGGTGACTCTGGGGCTGACGAAGCTAGCCTCAGAGCTTGCTTTCAACCAGAGACCCAGTGTGGGTCCAAGGCAGTCTGGGTCTGGCTCTCTTCCTAGGTCATCTCGGACCTGGAAGGATGCTTCTACATCAGTGATGGGAAACCAATGCTCTAGCTCTTCCTACCTCAGGACCCTTGCATAGGTTGCTCTCTTTGCCTGGAATACTTAGTCCCCAAGTCTTTGTCTCTGAGAATCAGATTAAATGCAATTTCCTCAATTTGGCCTTTCCTGGCAACTCCACTTGCCCTTTCCCATCCCCAATCTGCATTACGCCTCCTCGTACTTTCTCCCACAGTTCCTGCTCTCCCCCCGCCCCCAAGTGGTGGAATTATTGTATCAATGTGTATCCTCCACCAGGCTGAGGGCTCCTCAAAGGCAGGGGGCCTGCTGTTCTGTTCATTAATGTGTACCCATCCCTGAACACAGCAAGTACACAGAAAGCACTTGTTAAGTGCATGTAGGAGCCAAGACGAGGTCCCAAGACAGTGACCCTGTATCAGGGAATTCATGAAAAAGCTGTTTTTAATAGTTTTCCCTTGTAATCCTACATGCCTTTATTTTAAGCATTTAAAAGGAGAATTTTAAAGTACATTATTTAAAAAAGCAAACTATTTTGATAAGGGGTCAACAGGCTTCACTAGATGACCAAAGGGACCCGTAACACAATGGACACGAGGAACCCCTGTATGTAGAACCACCACAGGCGTTACTTTAAGCTGTAAACCAAAAGCCTCCATTAAAGTAACCCCAAAACCTCCTTTAACTGGGGGCACCCCTGCGCTGAAGGCCCGACTGGCTCTGGGGAGCAGCTAGCCACCAGGACCAAAGGGCACAGAAGAGAAAACTTCTGCCTTCAGCAGTGACTGCAGCCGAGACCCTGTGGGCACCGGGGCAGGGCAGGGTAGGGCGCTCTGCTCCCCAAAAGCACTGCATCTAGCACAGCTGGGCAGAGACACGCAGGGGCTGCTAAGAAGACCAATACAACAGGGAAGGCGCTGGGACCGGACAGGCGCTCCGGGAAGGCCCCGGCTGCCGGCGGCTTCCCTGGGAGAGCGCGGTGACCCGGCCGGGTGCTCACTACCTTCTCATAATACTGGATGTTCTTGTCAGCCATTCCCATGAGCAGCTGCCGGAAGTCCTGCCGCTTGCTGTTCTGCCACCTCTCCATGTCGGCTTTCAGGTCAGCGTTGAAACACTCCATCCGATCCTGACACTTCTCAACGTCCGCGGGCACCTGGAAGGGGACGCAGAAGTGGGTGCTCTGAGCGTGCACCTGGTTTCTGTGCCTCGAACTGCTCTGCTCACACTTCCGTGCAGGGCCGGATTCCTACGTTACGATGCCACAAACACTCCCCTCTGGAGGTATTCATCTGAAGGCGGAGCCCACTGTTGTCAGGTCTAAGAAGGAATTCTGAAAAAGACCATCCTGACCTAAATCTTCAAACCCATCCAAGCACAAGAGACTCGTGGGGGAAACACCCACCCCATATACAAACAGGAGGAAGAAACACTGCATTCAGAGTCATACATATCTTTTGTCTTTTTTTTTGTTTTTAAATTATTTCTATATTGATATTAGAAAGAGGGAGGAAGGGAAAGGGAGAGAGAGATAGAAACACCGATGAGAGAGAACATCGATTGGCCGCCTCCTGCATGCCCCCCGCTGGGGACTGGGCCTATAACCTGGGCATGTGCCCTGACTGGGAATTGAACTGGTGACCTCTTGGTGCGTGGGTCGATGCTCAACCACTGAGCCACACCAGCCAGGCAGTTTCTTTTTTTTTTAAATCCTCACCCGAGGATATTTTTCTATTTATCTTCAGATAGAGTGGGAGGGAGAGAAAGAGAAACATTGACGTGAGAGAGACACATTGACTGGTTGCCTCCTGCACAACCCCGACCAAGGCCGGGGACAAACCGCAAGCGAGATACATGCCCTTGCCAGGAATTAAAGCTGCGACTCACTGGTCCGCGGGCCGACGCTCTACTGCAGAGCCAAACCAGCCACGGGAGTTCCCTTTTTTTAAAAATACAAAAATGTGTGTAGAGCCCAGCCAGTGTGGTTCAGTGGCTTGAGCATCGACCTATGAATTGAGAGGTCCGGGTTTGATTCCCAGTCAGGGCATGTGCCCAGGCTGTGGGCACAATCCCCAGTAGGGGGCATGCAGGAGGCAGCCAATTGATGTTTCTCTCTCTCCCTTCCTCTCTTTCTAAAAAAAAGTCAATAAAACATATTTTTTTTGATGTGTGTAGATTTTGCAAATATCCAGCAGTATTTGCTGTGTCTAATAATGAGACTAGAAAAGGTTTTCCCATATCATGTAAACTATTCCATTACTTCTGATGCTTGATAATGTCTATCCTCATTAATCAGAGAATTAATTGCAATAAGACTACTGGCCAACTCCCTTCTCTGAATCCCACGTTACAGACAATCTGAAAACTCGCCTGTGCTCCCCAAGGCAGCAGATCCCCAACAAAGAAAAGTTAAAGTTAAGGAATTCTGGGGAAATAAGTAAGAGGAAAATAATTTATGTGTGTCAAAAGAATCTGAAATACAAATTCAAATTTTTCTTAAAGATGACTGTTTCAAATAGGAACACAGTCACCTTAATTTCACAATTCTCCTTTTGCTTCGGTGAGTTCCATCCATCCCACACAGCTAGAAGAGGGCCCAATGTTATGAACGCCCACAGGGAATTATTACCCTGGTTGCCAAAGCACAAAGTTAAACTCTCTCCTAACTCAAGAGCTCCCCTGGGTCCTGAGGGTGGCCAGCGGTCACATGCCCAACGCTGGGTCCACACCCACCTGCCAAGTGCTTCCCAACAACAAATAAGGCCTTTTGTGCACTGGGCCCTGTGAACCCCAGTGTCTCCAAGCTGTGGGTCACCTTCAGGGTCAATCTCTACCAACCAGGGAAGTTATACCCAGGCCTTATGGGCAAGGAGCCAACCCAGAAATACCAATAGTGATGAGGCCAAGGCTGAGGGAGCTGGACACCTTCAGGGCTTCTGAAAGTGCCGAGGGCACTGGCCTCATGCCACCGAGGACAGTCGGAGATGGCTGCAGGACACAGGAGCGAGCCCGAGGAAGCAGCTGGGTGCGGGAATTCACATGTGCCGGGCAGGGAGCTAAATGGGTGAGACAAGGATGGACTGGAGAGAAAGAACTAGGGAGGCCTCCTAGGCAATCGGAAAGGAACGAACTTTTCTTTTAAGAGGGGAAAAGGATGGCCGGTGTGGCTCAGTGGTTGGAGCATCCGCCTGTGGACCAGAGAGTCTCAGGTTCGGTTCCCGCTAGGGGCACGTACCAAAAAAGAAAAAAAAAAAAAAAAGATAAATTTCGCCCTGGCCAGTTTGGCTCAGCGGTTAGAACGTCGGCCTGCAGTCCGGAGAGACCTGGGTTCGGTTCCCGCTAAGGGCACGTACCTCGGTTGCAGTTTGTCCCCAGCCCTGGTTGGTCGTGCGGGTGGCAGCCACTCGATGTGTCCCTTCACGTCGATGTTTCTCTCTCTCTCCCTTCCTCTCTCTCCTTCCCACTCTATCTGTACAAAAAATGGAAAAATATCCTCGGGTGAGGATAAAAAAAAAAAAAAAAAAAGAGGGGAAAAGGAGCCCTGGTCGGTTTGGCTCTGTGGTTAGAGCGTCGGCCTGTGGTCCAGAGAGTCCTGGGTTCGGTTCCTGCTAAGGGCACGTACCTCAGTTGCAGTTTGTCCCCGGCCCTGGTTGGGTCATGCGGGTGGCAGCCACTCGATGTGTCCCTTTCACATCCATGTTTCTCTCTCCCTCCTACTCTATCTGAACAAAATATCAAAAAATGTCCTCAGGTGAGGACTAAAAAAAAAAAATAAGAGGGGAAAAGGAGCCTTCTTCAAAGCACTTAAGCTTCTGGAATTAAAAAAAAACCACAACTTGACTTTTTGTCCGGAGGCCATGCCTGAAGTCACGCTTGCCTTTCCCTGCTGATCCACCCATTGCCACTGGCCGCCTCAGGGGAAACGGACACTGAACAAGAGTGGCCTGGCTTTGCTGCACCCCAGCCATTCCCCACGAACGTCCAGGGCACAGCCTCACCCAGGGAGCCAGGTCTCTGCAGGCCTCAGCCCCCAGCAGGCGGTGGTTCCCTTACTCCTCTCCCGGGACAGCTCATTTTCTGCATGCGGGTGAGTGGGTGCCTGGAGCAACGTCCTGTGTGCTTAACAAAACCACCTCAGAACCAGGAGACGCAGAGCCCTGCAGAGAGGCCTTGGCCCAGGGAGGGGCGGGAGGCCGGCGCTCTGATTCACAGGGGTTCTTCTGTAGGAAGGGGGGCTTCTCACTGGAGGGGCGCTGTGGCTGACCCACACGCCGAGCCAGAGTGACAGCTCTGGAGTTTACGATCGCCCGAGCCTGGCTTTGGGAAACATTGTTAGCTCATCGTTTTCGCCCCACGCCCCACACTCGGCACTGAGGACACTGGCAGTGCTTCGGTCTCAGGCAAACTCGTCTCAAGTGGCGCAGTCGGCTTGGGAAGAGAATGAGCCTCCGGGACAGGGGGCTCGGGGCTCGGCCCGCACTAGAGCCCTGTGCTGAGCACACTGCCGGGCGAACTGGAGAGCGAGTCCAACTGGGAGGAGGGACCGGGCTTCCGTGAAGAAATGCCACGCAGGCGACTCCTTGGAGGTGACAGAGTGGCACGTGTGGTGATGGGGGAGCGGGCACTCCAGAGTGGCAGTCCGTGCAAGTGACAGAAGTGAGGCAGCACTGAGACCCTCCTCAGGAGTAGCTCACAGGCCACAGCGCCCACAGGCACAGAGAGAGAACTCCAGCTGCAAGACCGGGGGAAGGGGGAATGGGGTGCAGAAGATGCGAGCCTGGGACACCTCCCGGAGGCCAGGCTTCCCGGCCCATTTACCTCACGCCCCTGCTGGAACACAGCAAAGCACCTGCACAGACAGGTATGGAGCCGGGTTTCCAGAGCTGGAGAACCACACCTACCACTAACGAGACAGTGACTCGGGGCCTCTATGCCTCAGCTTCTTTTTCTAGATAATACCATCCACCTCACAAGGCGGTTATGAGATAGAATGCATAAAAATGTTAAATGAGACAGAATGCATAAAACACTTGGCGCCTAGCATATATTAAACACCCAACAATTATTTGTTAGTTCTGGTCAGTATCAATATTATACATCGAAGTTCATAAAAGATAATCTAGCATTTGCATAGCTCCTCAGGTCAGAATATTTTATCAAGCTTTATTCCACGTCTTATAAAAAGAGGTTACTTTTTTGTTTTCCAAATATAAACTATTATGATATAATCAAATATAGTCTTTCAAACTTCATGCCACTCCTCACCCTTGCTACTCCACCCAAGGTTTCGCCAGCGGTCAGAGATGAGTCAACACCAAGCTCTACCATCGCAGCTCAGCCTCAGCACCCTGGAGCCAGGGCAGTGGCCGCAACACCGGGAGGGAGAGGCGAGGTTAGGCCGACCCGGTGCCGACAGAACCGACAGACTGGGCAGCTGACCACACGTGAGATGTAAGATATAGAAAGTCAGAGAAAAGTCTGAAGTGTCTAGTCTGTGTGACCAGGGTAACAATAGTCCACTGCAGGGCTCAGGACAAGGGACAGATCCAAAGACCAGAAAAAGGAGGTCGCTGCAGCCATGGAAGGGTGAGACCTTCCCTCCACAAGAGGGGGCTGAAACAACTCAACAACAATGAAACGATCTGATTTTAAATCGAGCAAAGGGCTTCAATAGACATTCCTCCAAAGAAGACATACTAATGGCTAACAAGCACACGAAAAATGCTCCGCATCACTAGTCGTTGTGAAAACACAAATCAAAACCACAATGTGATACCACCTCACACCCATTAGGATGGTTATTATTTAAAACAGACAATAAGAAGTGTTGGTGAGATGTACATAAATTGGAACCCTCGTGTACTGTTAGGGGGGATGTAAAATGGTACAATCATTGCAGAAAACAGTGTGATAGTTCCTCAAAAAATAAAAATATAATTATAATATGATCCAACAATTGTACTTATAGGTGTATACCCCAAAGAATGGAAAGCAGGGTCTCAAAGATATATTTGAACACCCATAGCAGCATAATTCACAAAAAGCCAAAAGGTGGAAGCATTTCAAATGTCCATCCATAGATGAATGAATAAGCAAAATATGGTATTCACATACAATGGAATATTATTCAGCCTTAAGAAGGAAGGAAATTTTTTT